AGAACATTTGTCGAGGGATTGACTTCACTTGTCTCTTTGACGAGTTCGTAGCTTGGTGCGGAGAATGGCACAACTCACTCATGGTGCGGATTACGATGCCTGCGAAACGTAGAGAATGTACCAAATCCACTGTCTAAAGCTGGGAATCATGACAACTACTACGGCAGACGACTTCGGACTAGGTGAGTTCTACCAAGTCGCCCTGACAACAAGACCAAGTTGTGACAACGAGGTCAACCCACTTCTATAAATCGAAGGGAGACTGCGACCATACCAAAGACCACAACATCTTGGTCTTCATATCTTCAATTAAACTACTGGTTTAATGAGAACTACACCACTCCGCATGGGAAAAACTATTTAAATCACCTTTAACGATCGAGGGTTTTCATTCCACATTAACTGCAAATTTGATAGTCTACTCACAAAACATATAAGCAACATCATCAAGTCCATTAGTAACGCAACAAATCTGGCCCCGAGGCCCTAATCCCGTGGCAAATGCAAGTCATACCCGCCGCCTGGTTTCACTGATGAAGCTGTCCAAAGTATGTATGAAGACGCACATAAGAGATGTTGTATGTCTTGACACTCGTCGACCTCCCCTTTTCTTACACCAGGCCAGATCAACCCCTAAGGTCTAGGGTCCAGTGGGGTAGCTACAGCAATGACGTTACGCTGACTATCATTGGTTGCCTGTGCGGATGGCGGTGACACTAGGGCCAACAGCGAGGCCAGAGACACACCGAAGTTGACACCGCCTTACCGGTTTTCCTCTCAGGGACCGGGGCAGTTCTGACGCCGGAACAGCCCGTCGAATCGCTGCCCTGAAAACTCAGCCCTATTCTCGAGCGCCTATTGGTGGTTCAGTCCGCGGCCAATCGGCCCACCAACCGAAATCCACTCAGCCGCACTGTGATTGGTGAGAATGCGACAACCATTCGCAAGCGAAGCACTTCTTGTCTACTTTTCTACCTCTCACCTCGTCAAACGGCAGAGTGAGCCTTGTTAATGTGTCCCCTTGTCTAGCTGCAACCGCCTTGTGACGCAAAGGCAGTGACAGCTTTGTCATTTCTTTACTCTCATCTTGATTCACGTTTATGGTGATTTTTTTGGTCACCTCAAGTGACGACAGCCTTCTCCGCCTGAGCAAGCTGTGGATATACAAGCCTTTGGAATTAATCAACTTTGGGCCGTCGGAAGTCGCGAGTTGTGCCAGGAAAGACGACACTTCGAGACCGGCCGTTAAAGAATGTCATTGGTGAGCCATTCGTCCTTTTATTGTCTACTTATTTTAATATTGTTGTAAGTAGTGTTTGTATTTATGTTGACATCTTTCAAATTTAATGGACATGCCCAGTGAGTGATTCATTTAGCTCTAGAGCGAATAGCTTCCATTTCGATAAAAAGATTCTTCACCCGTTGGCCATGACGATATCCATCATATGACCGACGAGTGATTGGCATACTTTCACCGAAATCGAAGTAGATTCCGTCGGGCACAGCCTTAGCGAGAGCTCTCCCGTAAAGCCAAAAGGAATAGATAATCAGTTGAATCGCATCATCACACAAGCTTTCACTCGAAAATGAAGTGAACTCAACCAGGGAGTATCACGAGATTCCCCAAGACAGATTTTTCTTCACATAACTGCTTATAGTTCTTGATTAATTGCATCTTCCCGATAAACCTTTCTCGGGTTCACCGACTTCATCTGCAGGGCTACTTCAAAGATGTCTCGATATGTAAAAAATAGTTGAGGATTTGAGTTGTACATTGTGTACTTTACTTGCCTCCAGTTCGTGTAAAAATGTTTAGTGCAGAAATTTTTTATCTATTTGCTTGAATATGGTTGATCGAATAATCAGCATCAACTAACAATGCTATACCAGGAAATTCATCGAAACCTAATTATGATTAGTGTTTATAACAACGTTCTGATCCATTATTGAAAATCGTCGGAGAAGCTAATGAGACTCAAGAGAGATCAGAACAGCTCTTTCGCCATGAGGAAGATACCTTTCTGTAGACGAAGCTAGATGAAGTGGTTTGATTTCATTTTCACAATTTGGTCGTGTTGTCATGGTAAACTAGTTGGACGCATCCTGTTCGAAGTTTTTTGCTATATTGGTTATGAAAATTCTCAGCATTGGACCATAAATTTGGTACATTCTCGGACTTTTCTATAGGAATTATCATGGCTCCTATAGTAGAGGATTTCGGACAAGATGAGTCCAACTAAGTCGTCCTGACAACAAGACCAAGTTGCGAAAAAGAGGTCAGAACACTTGTATACATCGAAAGAAGACTACGACCAAAAGAAAACCACAATATCTTGATCTTCATATAAGGAATCATTAGACCTATTCATAAAATCATCAGTTTATACGACCTATGATAACAACAGATAAAATTCAAGATCGGCCCACTTATTGTGTATATAACTTGAGATTGCATTATTCGAATCCGCATTTATTTAATGTCATCAAAGGCCTCCTAGGCTGCATGAGATAATGAAATGTAAGTTGCAAGATGTCGATGAAGACTATTTAGCCTTGAAGATATGAAGACCAAGATGTTGTGACCTCTGGTATGGTCAGTCTCCTTTCGATTTATATAAGTGGGTTGACCTCATTGTCGCAACTTGGTCCTGTCGTCAGGGTAACTTAGTAGAAGGCACCTAGTGAGAAGTCGTTTGCCATAGTAGTTGTCATGATTTCCGGCTAAACGTTTGAGAATGTATCAAGTCCAATGTCAGATGCCGGGAATCATGACAACTACTATAGCAGACGACTTCGGATTAGGTGCGTTCTACATAGTCTCCCTGATCACAAGACCAAGTTGCGACAACGAGGTCAACCCAGTACTATTTAGCCTTGTTTATGTAAGGATATTTGCATCCCAGCTAGACTGAAGATTTTACCTCTACCGAGTCTCTATACATAAACTCCAAAACGATATAAAACTGGGTTATGTTGTTCTTATATACACTAATTTTATTTAGGCTTCGATTACGTCATGGTACCACATAGTTGGTTGATGTTGCTGCAATATTTGCGTAAATTCTTGTATTTGGTATGAAAAAATCAGATAAAGGGCTTGACAGGTCAATCTCATTTGAAGACGACAACTAATTTTTGTTGATTTGCAGCCGTTTGATGATAATGTTGATGAAGTCATTTGTTAAGGGTGTACCTTTCATTTCGTTTGAGAAAACGGGGCGAAGAGATTCGTAGATTGTTGTGTATACTTCAATTTCGAGTGAAAGTGTTTAATGAAGATATTTGGAGGTCGATTCCAGCAGAAGACTACGGCGGATTTCTCTTGACCAGCTGTCGATCGGCTTTACTGAAAAATGCATTTTGACGACGTTTCCGTGGTAATCTCCTTCGATTCTAATGAAAAGTTGCCTAAACTTTCGTCCGTCATATGAAGAACATCATCAGAGAAGGGTATAATCGTCACAACCATATTCAAGCTCTGATGATGTTCGTATTATGACGAACGAAAGCCAAGCAGTTTTCACCGGAATCGAAGTAGATTACCTCAGAAACAGCGTCAGCATGAATGTTCCAGTAAAAACAATCGATAGCTCATCAAGAGGAATCTGCCGTCGTCCTCTGGTGGAGACGACCTTCGAAAATATTCAGCAAACATTTTCACTTGAAATGGAAATAGCACAACAATTATTAAACAAGAGAGTCCTAGATACCCAACTTTTCGCATATATTCATAGATTGACCGCACCGGATAACGCAGAAGGGTTGCCTTGGACTTGTGTCTGTTGAATTGTGCAAAGAAGACCTCAGCCAACCGTCCTACGACCCCAAAGACTCTGTGCTGAGATTTCGTCCGTCATGTGACGGACATCGTCAGAGCTAGAAAACATTTTTTACGAAAAATCACCAAACAACACTAAACCGAATAAGGTGGCCAGCTGAGATCCTATTTACTTCTTATGCCTCACTTTGCGATCTTAATGAGGCATTCCATGATTTGGTTGGCTGACGTATGTTTGTCCTAAATGCATGTAAATGGATCAAAGTGATGCAGTCAGGGGAGCGGATGTGGTCACCACTTTTGTCTATGCAAATAAACTATAATTTGATCCAGTAGTCCTGGCTCTTGTTACAGCTTCGT